TGGCAGCAAGGAAGGACCCAGCACATGCCCTTCTGTGCTCACATGGAAGTGTCTCCCGATTTTATCCATGGGGAGCATGTTGTTGTCTCCATTTGAAAGTCGTTTGTCTCATCCCTGGAAATGTAGAAGCCAGTCACATCACCTGCTGGTGTGTATGTCTGACACCTTTATGTACAGGTTGCTTTTATGTCACCTGTGCCATCAGGTTTCCTCTATAGTATGCATGGGTTCTTCACAATCAAAAGCTATGGAAAAATAGTATTTTTTAAAAGTAAGGAAATCATTATCAAAAGAAGGAAATTATGATTTACAAATCAACAGGGAGGATTTAAAACTAGGAGCTATGAACTTCCCCTTTAGATAATTAAATGACTAGTGCCTGTCCCTTTGGCCTGTTTATCTTTAATTAAATTGCATCTTTTAAAGCACAAATTAGGCCTTGTGGATAGTTTAGAAAAATATTCCCTTTAAATACTGTTCCAACTTTGTAAATTTTTTTTTTTTTATAAAGAATATTTGCATGAGTGTAAGATGTTTTACAAAGGTTTATCTACCCTGCTGTTTCCCTTACCTCAGTGATACTGCTCTCTACAGAACATGGTGCTTGTTTCCACAGTGACCTAGTGCTACAAGGCATTTCTGCTGGAGCAGTGGGGCTTTATTGTAAATAAGAGGCCCTGCTTTCCATCACAGGCTTTGAATAATTCACTAAAATTGAAGTGCATATTAACAGCTTCCTCAAAGTTAATCCTGAGCAAATCCGAGAGTGGGTTTGGTCAGTGGTGGCATACCTGGGCAGTTTCACCAAAGCCTACACCACTCCAAGAACATACACCATCACCTAGGAGAAAAATGTGATTCTAATAGCAGAACTTTACAAATTATCAATATCACCTCCTAATACATATTTACTCTAATATTCTGTGCTCAGGAATTGGGGTGCCTGTGTGCACACAGGCTGCTGCAGCACTGGTGAGCAGAGTCCAGATCTCTGCCTCTCTGACAGCTAGGAACCACATTTTTCCCTCTAAAAAGCCAAAGTTAGTATGTGTCAAGATACATTCAATCTCTTCTCTTAGGTTTCTTTACCTAATACCTTTTTAAAGAGAACAGTTTGAGGTGCCACCACTTTTGTTTTTCATTACTCACTAGGTAAAATCAGGTAAAATGCTACTATTTCTGGCACTAGCCAAAAACCTGTAGTGTGCAGACACTGCAGTTGTGTAGCAGGATGTTGGATGGGTAGTGGTTTACTCCTTGATGTGCCTTTGCACACTGCTGGAAGCTCAGGCTCACGGCAGCAGATGGATGTTGTTGGGGCTTTTCTGCGCAGATGACCAGAAGTGAGAGTTCAGGTTTTCATCCTGTTAGGGATGTTGATTCATGGGGTCTTTGGACGTGTATATACCTGTTAAAAAATCTGTGTTTTGTTAATTGCCATGCCAGCTTTTCCTCTGAAACTCAAGGGAGTAATTGTGCATACCTAACTCCAATCACTGCTTATAGTAAGTGGCTGAGGACTGCGTTCACAGACTTAGTCCGGTCCAACTAGTGACTTTATTCATCAGTGGTGGTGCATTAGAAAGTAGAAAACACAGGTCAGCTGCACCTGCTGCACTTGCAGACTGCAGTCATAGAAGAAAAGTCAGAGGTGAAAAATAATGGTGGTGTGTTTTTCGCAGGGAAGCCGGGTCGCTTTCCACCGAGGATGCATCTCCAGGCTGCCCCCGACAGCAGAGCAGCCCCGCACTTCCCAAGGTCTCACCTGGCTGAAGCAGTTGCCAAAGCCAAGGCAGGTGGAGGTGCTGGTGGAAGCGCTGGTGGAACTGGGAGAGGTCTCGTGGGACAGATCATCCCTATATATGGATTTGGCATCTTTTTATATATCCTGTACATTTTATTTAAGGTAAGCCCCACATAAATTGAAGTTAGGGAAATAACTAAAGGAAAAGGTAGGCGAGAAGTGATAGTCTCATTTCTGTGCCTGGTTCCATTTCAGCCTTGCTTACCAAAAAAAACTCAAAACTACCTATGCTGGACCTTTGACTGGTGATTGAAAGATTGGTGAATGTATGCTGTGGTTTTCACTATTGCTAACACTGTAGCTGAGGATGCAGGGATGGTTGTTGTGATCCTGTATTGGCCTCTGACCTCTTACATTTTTTTTAAGGATTTTTCCCCCCCTTCCTGGTTAATGTTATATTAATTTTGAATGTACACATAGTATTCTTTCCTATTATGGGTGACTTCATATTATATATATGGTACATGTCACATATTGTGTTGCATTTAAAGTGGGAGGGAGTGAGTACACTGCTGCAAACTTTCTGGAACAGAAACACCATGTTGTTGGAGAATGGGGATTTGTAAGATTGTGCTGACAACACTGGAACTAACCCAGCTGAGGAACTCTTTGAAAGCTAGTTTAAAAAAGCACAGCCCGAGTTCCTCTCAAGTGGTTCACTCATGATTTGACCTCTCATAGCTTTCTGTTACATACACACGACTTGCATGTAGGTGACCCCAGTCAGTTGTGTGGGAGGAGTGAGACGTGGACTTCTGGAAAAGTTTCTTAGAGTGGGGCCTGGATCCAGATTGAGCAGTGTCCACAGAGTTGAGCCTGCTCTGGACAGAGAGAGGCAAGAACAAAGGGAATTGGGTGAACTTATCAAGCACAAAGATGAAAGCCATAGATGGCCTGCAGCCCCTGTATAAAGCCAGCCAGTGTCTTTGCTGCAGGCACAAAGCTGGTACGGAGTGATGGCAGGAAGCCTTGCAGGAGGGACAAGCAGGGTCACACATAATGTCTTTAGAACCTGTCCTTTATGTCACAATAATTGCCCAATGTGTTTTCCCCCTCCTATATGCAGAAGAATGGAACAGATAAATTATTCTAAAACAAAGTTATTTTTTATGAGTTGAGCTTTCACTATGCTTAAAAATATCATTTGTTCCAAGAGTCTTTCAGGAGTCTCCAGCTGGCAAGATCTCCCAGGCATCTTTCATGGGTGTCTGTTATTGCTGCTGGCCATGCTTTTCAGTGGTTACTCTTTTCAGTGGTCAGAGGCATGGTCCATTTTACATTTCTATCCTTTTTTTTTCTATTGCCTTCAGGGCTTATATATTACTATTTTGGTAACTCATAGAAGGGTTATCTTTTTTTTCACTCATCAGCTGGCTTCCAAGGGAAAAACTGCTGCTGGAGAGCGGAAATGCCCTCCTGTGGCACCTGGAAACATGAAGAGGAAAATCAGTGAGTATGAATTCTGAGGCATATCTGTGTAGCTGCTGACTCTTGCAGAGGCATGGTCCAGCTGGGTTCTTCAGGTTCTGGGGACTTTAGAGTTCTGTAAAGCTGCCGTCCCCCCCTGTAAAGAACAAGCCAGAAGCTTTTGTGCTGCAATGAGTTAAAGTGAATTACTGCACCGTTACTCTCTAATCTCATTCAGCTAATGAGACTCTGTGATAGTACTGATCCCAAGCCCCTCTGGAGGCAATGGCCTTTCATGAAGTTCACTGAATTAACTGTACGGATTTGCTGAAAAGCTATGTAGTTAAAGATTAAGAAGGAATAATAGGATGTCCATCTGTAATTATTCCATAATCCATAGTATTCTAGTAATAGTTTATAAAGATGTTATTAAAAGCTAGCTTCATTTTTTTTTTTAATTTGTGAATTTTAAGCCATCACCAGGCACTTCCCTACTTTTTCCTTTCCCTTTTTGCAAAGTTTGAAGTTTTCCTAAGTGCAATAAAGAAAGAAAACAGTATTCTGTAATGTTATTTTGATTTTACCTAAGCATCGGTGCGATAGATTCAACTATTTGTAGCCATTTATTAGATAAATTAATAAGCTTACTGTTGAAGAATGGATGAGTCCTTACCATAACAGTATTTAAATGTGTTATGTTTAGCTGGCTAAAGTGTAACGGGAAAGAAAAGTACTTAAGGCTTTATAGAAAATGCTAGCAGTAAGGTAATTCTCTTAACATAGCTGTAATTATCTTGACATTAATGTGTATATTAGGAATACCTAATGTACTCATTGCTATAGATTGTATTTTCAGTGCACTTGTACTGCATTGTGCCTGGCAATTTTGTGCAATTTATTAGCAACGGTAATTGTATTTTTTCTCTAACGTTTGGAAAGAGAAACTAAGTTTGCAGTAAGCTAAACATTTACCATCATTATAACCCAAAGAACTAGTGATGAAAATTATCCTGCCTGTTTCTAGAGCTCTTCATTTGTATTCCTGAAGCATTCATTGCAAGCTGTAGCAGAGCAGGGACCAAGTCACTGGGCTAGGAACCTGGAGACTGAGTCACCACTTACACAGTGGCTTGGCGGGAGTAACTTCCTTTGTCTTTGCCAGTTTCCCCTCCCCTATTTTTAAACTCTCGGACATGCAAAATAATGACATCAGGGACACATTAATGAAGGGCACTCTCTGCAGAACAGAGAATGCTTTGCAAAGCAGGGTGCTTGTGGCTGGGGGGACCCATTCTGCTG